AGTCCAATCCACTCATTTTATGGACTAGTTTGAAATAGCGAACAATTTTGACCCATAGTTAATAACAGTACATTATTGCAGATATGTATTATATGACTGATTCTAGGCCAAGACAACAGAAGCATAGATAAGATTATTTTCCTTATTGTGATCTATGCCTTTACTTGCCTCTGAACTAGGAAGGCAGATGGTCAGAGGTTTCACTTGTGCATGTATAAAGAAATGTCCCAGAAGAGAAGGATAATAGTCCTTATAGCTGAGTGTCTCTCCCCCCCACCTTCCCTCCTTGGGGATTCCTCTTACTTTTTTTGGGGGGGGGGCTAGGCAATGGGGTTAAGTGACTTGCCCAGGGTCACACAGCTAGTAAGTGTCATGTGTCTGAGGCCGGATTTGAACTCAGGTTCTCCTGACTCCAGGTGCTTTATCCACTGCACCACCTAGCTGCCCCCTCCTCTTACTTTCTAATAGACTGACAGCCTGTCTACCTTTGTTGCTCTTGGTTTCTTTGTAGCCTGTGTGTATGTGGAAGTGCCCAGATTTCCCCAGATTTCCTAATCTTGATAATGAAAGAAAATTCTTTTTCTTTTAATTCTGCTGGAGTGGTATGAGATTGAGCTCTGAGTTTTTGAACTCATCTTTCAGTCCCTCAGGCTTTCAACCTGAAGAGTCATCCTGTATTCCTCACTATCTCTCATTGCTGTCTCTCCTGTCCATATCCAATCTGTTGCCAGGGTCTGCTGGTTTCACTTATGTAAAGTCTCTTGAAAATGCCCCCTTCTCTCCTCTGATACTGCCACCACTCTAGCCCAGTCCCTCATCACCTCATGCCTGGATTATTGTAATAGCTGATAGTGGGTCTACCTGTCTTAGGTCTCTCCCCACTCTAGTCCATCCTTTATTCAGCCACTAAGACGAATTTCCTAAAGCACAGGCAGATCTGACCATGTCCTTCCCCACCTTCAACTCCCCCCACCCTGTCCCCAATAAACTCTACTGGTTTTTTATTGCCTCCAGGATCAAATACAAAATTCTCTGCTGGTCACAGTCCTTTGAACCTAGCCCCCTATACCTTTCCAGTCTTCTTAAAATTGCTCCCCAATACATACTCTTCGATCCAGTGACACACTGGCCTCCTGGCTGTTCACGAACAAGGCTATACATGTCTCATCTCTGGACATGTTCTCTGGCTGTCTCCCATGCCCAGAATACTCTCCTCCCTCAACTCTACCTGCTGACTTGACTGGCTTCCTTTTAATTCTAACTAAAATCCCACCTTCTGTAGGACAGTAGGCACTTAAAAATGTGTGTGAGCAGATTGAATACTGTTTGCCTTTCAGGCAAAGGCCCATATTTGTGATCTCTTTAAGTCATTCATTTGCACCTCCAATTTGGTGTCAACCCTTAGAGAAGTGGGAAGAGAAGGGCGGAACAAGTTATGTTCAACATTGGGCTGCAAGTTCCTTGCAATATTGAGCCGGTAAGATTTGGATGGTATCTTGACCAAACAAGCACCTAAGGCCATGTTATTGTTATAGGTTATCAAATAGCTTGGCAAACTCTCAGCTGCCCAGCCCCTGAGGTGAGTGGCAAGATGGATAGAGGAAAACATGACAGGAGAAAGTCATTACTTTAGTTCCTTCATTTGGGTTCCCTTTCTTCCTACTTTCTAAGGAGCAATGTAAGGAATAGTGTTTATAACCTTCTAACACCATAGCATTTGTGTTTCCTGTTCTGTTAGAACACAAAGATCATAGAATCATAGTTGTAGAGCTTAAAGGGACCTCAGCACTCATCTAATCCAACTTATTTTACAGATGAAGAAACTGAGGCCCAGCTAGGTCAAATTACTACAAGGTCCCACAGATATTATATTTTAAATGGAAGAGCTGAGATGTGAACATAGGCCTTCTGATGTCAAATCTAGCCCTCTTTCCACTGAACCACGCTGATATCTATTTCACTATTTCAATAGAAGCACAGCTCTATTTAACACAATGTATATATGTAGCCTTTTGCTTTCATGCTTCATTTGCCAATTGAATCCCACTCCTGGTTTGGCTGTGGATTCCCTTAAACAATCAACCTTCACCTCTTATAGTTAAACAGCATAAAAATCTTCAGTTCAATGCTGATACCTATACCATGAAAGACATTGAACCTCTTTTTGCATTCAGAACCCTCCACAATCTGACCCCACCTCAGACTTTCCAGGCTCATCTTACTTTTATCTTTTCCCTCCTGGCATATTTTTTTTTTTTTGAGATTGGGTCTTTATTTTGCCCAGGCTGGAAGTGCAACAGCCACTCATGGGCCAGATCTCAATGTGGATTGGCATGGAAATTTGACCTGCTGTATTTCTCAGTTTAGCCTTCCTTAGGCAGCCTGGTGGCCCCTGGTTCTCTGGGACTCACTATATTGGTGCTGTCTGTGCTTGCACATGATTGACAGCATACTGCAGCTCAGAACTCCTGAGCCCAAGTGATCCACCAGTCTCAGCCTCTTAGTAGCAGTCTGCCACCATTCCTGGTCCTTCCTATTACACTTCAGCCAACCTAGGCTACTCTCTGCACCCCTAGTTGTGTCTTGTACTTTCCTCCCTCTGTGTATTTACTCACAATGGTGTGTGTGTGTGTGTGTGTGTGTGTGTGTGTGTGTGTGTGCGTGTGTGCACACGCTCGAGCGTGCCTACAGCGTCCTGTCCTTTCCCTTTTTACTAAATTCTCTCCTAGTCCTTGAAGTCCAGCACAGATACTACCTTCTCCATGAACTCCTTCCCTGATCCCTGTGGTCCATAGTGGCCTTTCCCTTTGGATCTCAGCATTTTGTTTGGTACCTTGATAATGCATGCATCATATAATATTATAAATGATAGTTATATATGTTACTGTCTTATCTTTCTGTCAGCTGTGAGCTCCATGAGAATATTAAAATTGATATGACTGAATTTCTCCAGCAGTATGTTCACTTGTTGGTTAATAGGCAAGAATCTCACATTTAGAGTGTCTACAGCTAAGTTAATATTTATAGACAACCTAAAAGCTTTAAGAGTCTTAGTACCCTCTTCCCCCCTTTTCTGTACTTTGTTATTATTGCTGTAGAAGCAGAAAGGGATTGCCTAGGACTGGGACATTTTAAATTTTCTTTGTTTCATGGGTTGCTATGGCCATATAATTCATCACCAAGTGACCATCCTAGGAGTGAGGGCAGAGACTTTGACTTACCTAATCTTTGTATTTTCCTCCTGTGCTTAGCATGGTGTGCTATAAAAAGTAGGTGATTTCTAGACATTTGAAAAAAAATGAATGAATGAAGGTCATTTAGAAAACACTAGCTCACAAAAGCATGTTTCCAAGGGCTGCAAAGCAGAATGACAGAGGTCATTAGTGTTTTACTAATTTGTCTTTTGTTCAGAGTGTGGGTTAATTTCTTGATCCTACTAAGTTCCAAAAATATTTGAAGTTCAGATGTTGGAGTCTGTTTTTACAGAGACAGCCACATGATCAGAACTGTGATGGAAACCTCTCAACAACATGAATGGGAAAATTACTTTTATGAACATCGAATTCTCATGAGAGAATCCTTGCCTCTGACATGTATTGAGAAGTATCTGCCAAATTATCCATTTCTTTGTATTTGCTAAATTAGAGGTAATTCAGACATCCTCTGGTTGAGGATGAGATGCCAGACTCAAAAAGGCAAATGATTGTGTTCCAGTTAAAATGTTGCCAAGGTGGGTGTGCCCAATGGAGAGACCAATTTTTGCCCCGAAACACCCTTTAAATAAAAACACCTTTAGAAGACAGTTTCATTAAATATGTCAATGCCAAAGGTTCCATGCCTTATCTGTACTTTGAATCTTTGTGGTCCTGAAGTTGAAGGTGTCTCTTAAGAAATCTCTGATAAGGAGAAGGATCCTTATGATTTGTGTAGCTGGTGCTCTGGGTGATTTATCTGTATGTTTCAAGTCCTAATCAGGACCTTATTTTATGCCCAAGTCATAGAATGTTGGAGTTGGACAGGACATTAAAGCTCATTTGGTGAGGCCCCTATTTTTACCAATGCAATAACTGAAGGTAATGGGATGGGGGTGGAGGATGGTTGATGGTACAACCTCAGCCGCTGCTCCAGCTACAGTGTATTTATTTTATCAAGCAAGGATGTATGAATGGGTATAGGCATAAAAGCAGAGTCAGGGCAATAAGAAGCAAATTCTGGAAGCTCTACTAGACCTCAAAGTACTGAATTTGGAATCGGGAGAAATTTGGGTTCAAATTCCAGTTCTTATACTTATTCCCTGGGGGGATCCTGGAAGACAAACAAACTTTCTAAGCCCCATTTTCTTCTTCTCTGAAGTGGAGGTAATGCTTGTCTGCCTACCCCATAATGCTGCAGGGGCCCGGATGGGAGTGGGGGAATTATAGATGGAGAGCTGCAATGGAATGTAGGGACCATTCAGTTCAGTCCCCTTATTTTATAGCTCAGAGACATTGTGACTTACCCAAGATCACACAGGTAGTAAGTAATAAAGATGGGAGTCAAATCTAGGCACTCTGATTTCAGATTTAGTACTATTCTCATTTGGACTCCTGCCTCAGTTCCCTGGGTTATTAAAATCCTTGGCTTTGCTCTCAAGCAATGATGCCTCATCTTTTGTACTTCTCAGGCTGATCTTCTTGGTATCAGTCCTATTTCCAACTGGAGTATGACTTGGCTTCCTTACAAATTCATTCCTAGCGTTGTTATTTGTGGCCTCAAATATTGCTGCAGCCTAGTGCTGGCTCCTAAAAGAAGCTAAGAGGCAAGAAGTGATGATGTGTCCAATGCCCCACAAGGCGTCAGTGGGAGAGACAGCCAGAAGCTAGATTTATTTTCCTCTCTAATATTTGCTTGAAGATGTAGTATTTGCTTATAGGACCACTTACTTCTTATCACTCCCCTTCAGACATTCTCCATTCCTGTTAAACCAGCATGCTTGCTGTTCTTGGTATATGATATCTCACCTTCAGTCTCAGATCCTTTGCACAGGTAGGTAGTCCTTCCATGTCTGCAACCAACTCCATCCTGTCTTTGCTTCTTCAATATCTCAGCTTCTGTTTATACATGTTATATGTTATAAGGTTTTTCTTTTTGTTTTTTTCTTTTTCAATGGAGAAAGGAATTGGGAGAAAAAAAATAAATATTTATTAGTTAAAAAATAAAAGAAATTAACATTTAAAAAAATCTTTAGCTTAACATACAGCTTAGAGGCCATCTCTTATCAATTTCACTTTATTTAATTGTGTTCATATTGCATCTTTTCCTCACCCTCTCTTTTCCCACAGAATGCAAGCTTCTTGAGAGGAGGGATTATTTTGCTTTAGCTTTTATGTCCTCCCTGCCTAGTATAATGCCTTATACATAGCAAGTGCTTGATTAATGTTGAATTGAATTAAATGTGAATTAAACTTGGGAGTTATAGACTCATAACTAAAGATGTATAATTTCTGAAAGGACAACTTCAGAATGGATTTGGAACTTGGGCGAGAGTTCTTTTAAAACATTGAGAGAACATTTACCATATATTTGGGTATGTTTCAGTGATTACTTTTCAGTTACACTAGTGTAATAATAATAATAATTACAATAACTAGTATTTATATGTCACTTACTATGTGCCAGGCCCTGTGCTCAGTGCTTTACAATGATGATCTCATTTGGTCCTCATAATAATCCTGGGAGGTTGGTGCTATTATTATCCCCATTCTGCAGATGAGAAAACTGAGATTAAGTCACTTGCCCATGGTCACACAGCTAATGAGTGTCTGAGGTCAGATTTGAATTCAGGTCTTCTTGACTCCAGGCCTACCACTCAAGCTATTGGCCCATCTAGCTGAAATGTGTTGCTTGCATTTTGTATTGGCAAATTAGGGTTATACCATTCTTTTCTTTTACCTTTCTTTCTTTCTTTTTCTTTTTCTTTTTCTTTTCTTTTTAGTCTTCTTAATAGAATTGAAAGCACTATACTACAGTGATCCAAGAACACTAATCATAAACCATTCGGAAAGCCAAAGCATTCATTTCAGTACCAGAGACGGCTACTGTTTCAGCCGTCTGTCATTGGTTGTTTAAAAAAAAAAAAGCCTGAATTCTTGGAAAGCTGTGTTCTGGACATTCAAATAGATAGGTTTCTTATACAGGGAATAAAAAAAAAAGGAAAAGAAAACTTTGATAACTTTTGCTGGAACCGTGGCTTGATTTTTTTCCTCTGAAATGAAAGGGAGGAAAAAATCCAACAACTATAGGCCCTGAAATACATCTGAAGGCTGTTATCAGTGTTTAGTTGACTAATCATTGCTTTGTCATATGCTGTCCCTTCTCTGTGCCTTTGATCACACAGTCCGTGAAGCCTGGAATGCATCATCAAATCCTCCCATTCCTCTACTCTTGAATTTTGTCTGTTGAAATCCTCTCTTTTCACAGTCCAGTTCCGGTGCCACCACCTCCATGAAGCCGTCCCTGACTCTACCACCGAAAGTGATTTTTCCTGCCTCTGAATTCTCAGAATACTTTGGCTGGGCTTCTCTTTTGTGTTTTTCTCACTTTCCTTTGTGTCCATGTATCTTTCCTTCTCTTTTCCCTCCCTCTGCATCTTCCATTCTGTAAGCTTTTGAGAATAGGGCCTGAGTAATATATGGTTCAATTCTTTGGAAGCAGTAGGTGCTTAGTAAATATTGTTTGAATTGAATTGATAGGGAATATTTTAACCAATCAAAATGTGATTCTTTCCTCCATGGGACAAATTGTGTTTGCCATGATTAAACTTAATACAAGTGCATGAGTTCATGGACCCCACAGAGATGTGTGTGTGTGTGTGTGTGTGTGTGTGTGTGTGTTCACTGAAGTGTACTCAGGGAACCAGTAAGTGAGCTCCCAGATGCCATTGATAAATTCAAGTCAGTTCATGGTCCAGGTCTCTAAAAGAACTGGTAGACACTATTTCTGAGGCTTAGGAAACTAGAAAGGTGGCATGGGATTGGAGATGGGTCTTAAAATTAAAAAAAAAAAGGGAATAGAAAAAGAGACTTCAAACTGAAAGCCAGATTCAAAGCAGGCCTCTGACACATACTGGCTGTGTGGCCATGGGCAGATCACTTAATCTCATGATATACTACCAGAGGTGGGGAACCTGCAGCCTCAAGGCTACATGTGACCCTCTAGGTCCTCAAGTGCAGCCCTTTGACTGAATCCAAACTTCACAGAACAAAACCCCTTAATAAAAGAATTTGTTCTGTAAAGCTTGGACTCAGTCAAAAGGCTGCACCCAGTGACCTAGAGGGCCACATGTGGCCTTGAGGCTGCAGGTTACCTACCCCTATAGACTATTGGTGTCAAGTTCAAATAGAAGCAGAGGCCACTAATCCATATAGAAAGGTCCCTCCTGGCTGCATGTGGACTTAGTTTTAATATGCAATGTTAGCTCTGTTTTATTATATTTTTATTTATTTTGTTACATATTTCCCAATTATATTTTAATCTGGCTCAGGTCATATTGGGGAGTTAACCTGCAAGCCATGTTTTTAACAACTCTGTTCTGGATAATTCTCTTAAGCTAAGCTGCAGAGAAGGTGCTGACCTGCTTTGATATAGGGAGTTTCCTCACCTGAGAGTTCTCCATCCCAGTGAAATCACAGGTCCACGCCCTGTCCCTATTAAACTGGCAGGTTTATGGAATGCTTGAGTTAGAGTTTACTTAGATTTTAGCAGTGTCTGATAAAGTATTTGGTGCCATTCATAGGCAAAAAGATGGAGAAGTGGAGTAGGTGGATCAGAACTAGTTCAGTGGCCAGACCCAGATGGTTCTAAGTCAACTTGGAAGAAATTCTCCAGCAAAGTGTCCTGCAGATCCATGTTTGGCCCTTCAGTCCATGAATCAGGGCTCCACAACACTCTCAGGGGCTTATAAAAAGAGCCGTGACCACTGAGAACTGAAAGAGAAGACTCAGAGTTAAACTGTGGAGAAGAGAGAATTGTACAGGACATTAGAAAAGATGTAGCTTCATACATGAATTGCAAAAGAATGCATTTCTGTCCTGAAGTTTTTTTGCATAAGGGCTTGCTCCATTTGTAATGTGTCCTTCATGAAAGAAGAGTAATAGACCTCCTCTATCTCCTCCTCCTCCCTCGCCTTCTCCTTCTCCTTCATTTTCTTCTCCTCTTCCTCCTCCTTCTTCATCTTCTTATTCTCCTCCTGCTTCTCCTCCTTTTCCTCCTTCTCCTTCCTCCTGCTCCTCCTCTCCCAACCTCAGTCCCTCACATGCCTGGTTCCATTACTGACTGGCCCAGAAGCATTGACTTGCTTTGTTTCTGACCTGGCTCATTTCACTTCTCCTTAGGTAGCCTATTTCACCCCTGTTCTCCAGGGCTCACTCTATTAGTGCTAGAATTAGTGTGGACACCAGATCGGTTTAAGCCCTACTGTTACTCAGAATGCTTGAACTCAATTGATCTACAAGCCTCAGCTTTCCCAGAAGCAAGGATTATAGATGAATATACATATAATTCTTTGGAATTTACAGTTGAGAAAATGGACCCTTAGAAATTTTAGGTGTCTTCTTCATGGGTAACATCTGTTCTGAATTCATTTAATTGTACTTTTATTTAGCCTGCTTATCTCCATATTTTCTACCAAAATAGCACAAGTTAAATGCTTAGCTAAAATACAGGTAAACTATACCTTCCACATTTTCCTGATCTACTAGTTTAGTAATCCTGTTAAAAAAAAGCAAGTGAGGTTAGTCTTGTTATTAAGAAATTGACAATGTCTTCTTGTGATCACCACTTCCTTTTCTAGATAGTCATTAAACATTGCTTTAATATTATGTATACACATATATACATATGTATGTCTATATGCACATATAGACATACATACATACAAATATATATGTATATATGTGTATGGTATACACATACACACACACACATATCCATCCTGGAATTTTGCCAGGGATTGGATTTGGGATCATTAACATATGGCATGAAGACTCCATTCTCTTCTTTCTTTGAAAAATCAGTACAACATTTATCTTTTTGTTGCCCTGTTGTACTTCTCTCCATGTTCTTTCTTTCTTTTTTATGTTTAATCTTTATTTTTTCAATTACATATAAACAAAAATTTTTAACATTCATTTTTAAAAATTTTGAATTACAAGTTTTCTCTCTCCCTACCCCCTCCCTTTGAAAAGGCAAGCAATTTTATATAGATTATACATATGCAGTCATGTAAAATATTTCCATATTAGTCATGTTACAAAAGAAAATGCTGACTGAAAAAACAAGACTAATAAAGAAAGTTTTAAAAAGTATGTTTCAACCTGTATTCAGGAGCTATCAGTTCTTTCTCTGGAGGTCTCCATGATCTTTAACCACTGCAAGTGAATAAAGGCAGCTTTAGTACATTGTGATGTAGTTCTTCTGAGTCTGTTTATTTGATTCGTACACAACCAGGTGTTCACTTGCCATTTCTTTACTTATCTTTGGACTTTAATTCCCTGTTTTGGTTTTGTCCTTTCCAGTCCAAAGATCATTTTCCTTGGCACTGAAACAAAGTAAGGGTTGAGCAGCTCTGACTTCTCTCCATTCTTAATTTTCATACCATCCTCCCTCACCGATTGTCCTGTCCTCCATCTTCTCTGAAAATATAACCAAAACCCCCAAAACAAAGCAACTTTTTTTGGTTATTCAGAAATTTGATAACCAGTCCCAGCTCATTCCAAGCTTTAGAATTCTTGACATTTTTCTTCCTAGACTGTGCCATACTTATATAATCATCTTCTATTACCTACTATTGTTTCCATCTTCTATTCATGTCTTAAAAATCTAATTTGGTAGATGAGTGCCCTATGCATCCACATCATTTGCTATAGAAAATTCCCCCTTCTCCTTTTCATCAGTCTTGTTTCTCTTTGTTCTTGAGAGCTTTCCATTCATCCTGGGCTGAATTTCTCTGCATAATGTTAGTCTAAGGGGTCCTACTAATTTTTTCTCTGCATCCTTTGAGATTTACTTCCCCAAAATCTAGGGTGACTAGTTCTTACAAATCTCATTTGAGTTCAAGACATGCTAGTATGGTTGTCAAAGGCCCAAAGTTTATCATCTATGCTCTTTTCCCCTTTGCCACCAGGAATGGGTTTTAAGCCAGCTCAGGCTACCTTTCTTTAAAAATAAAAATGAGGAAGACCGTTCTACAGGATTTGAGACACTAAGCACATAGGTTAGTCCCATGTGACAGAAAGGCTTTTCCTGCTGGCTAATTGCTTCAGAGGCAATTGATACAATTGAGATCAGTGCTCCCAAAGCCCATTTGTCTTATTTCATCCATCTCTACCCCCACCACATCATTCCCACTAATGTCTAATTTTATTAATATTCATTATTTATAGCATATCACAAAGCTTATGGAGGGGGGCTTACAGTATTTAAGGCAGAGATAAGATACAGTCCTTCCCTGGAGATCTTACAGTATAAGATCATAGATGGAAATTGGAAAAAAAATAAGTCAAGAAAGGTCATGAATTAAAGCCAAGCAGGGTAGGTAGGACAGGTGAAGAGTGGCAGCTTGGTACAATAGAGAGTGCTGGACTTGCCATAAGGAAGGGCTGAATTGAATCTCATTTCTGATACTATCTGTATG